GTTAGTGGGGTGGGGAGGGAATGGCATTTTGCAGTACCCTTCCCCCAGGAGTGGAGAAGGAATGGAGATTTTACAGTATCTGTGATGACCCAGGCTAGGGATGCAAAATAAACACAGTCACAAAAACCCGGTGAAGCCCCTTTTATTCCTTCACTTTGTTTCCAAGCTCCAAATATCCTTGACAGAAGACAAAAAACTCCCACACAAGCAGTTACAAGAAGGAGGGGGAAAACAACCAGGCAAGATAAGGGCTGGAGGACGTCCACAGAAAACACACACTGGGAAGGACGCCAAACTCAGAGAGGAACCATAAACTAGAGATATTTCCATGCTTTGTTTCCAGCATTTGCCTGTACTCATGTTCGTCCTCTTAATCAGTTGTCACAGCTGCAGCCCATTAAGAGGATCAAAGCCCTCTCCTCCCGAGTAGACCACACCTCTCCCTTATCCTCTCCTCCCTGCTTGCCCTAGGATGGAGAGGGGATGGGCCTGAGTCCTCCTCTGACTGCCCAGCCAGCCTCTGCCCTTCCCCAGCCTCCTCCACAACCTTCGGAGCCACACTTCTACTCCCTGTTGGCTGTTCCTCCTCTCCCTCGGAGTCAGTCTCCACCAGGGGCATGACAGTATCCTTCCCCTGCCATGCCCACCAAGCCACACTTACAAAGCCATATTCACCAAGCCATGCCACGCCCACCAAGCCATGCCCACGGAACAGGTAGCAAAAATGTTGAATCCCACCACTGCACTGGAGGGGGCCACAAATCAAGGTCTCAGAGGCCAGTTTTCAGTCCCGGGACATCAAGTTGATGGTCCCTAAACTAGCTACTAAGTTTATTCAGAAAAATGGGATTGAAAGAGACCTAGTAAATGCCCAATGGCATTTTGGCAAATCTTTAATGGATGTTTACTTTTCCCCGCTAGATTGGAGCACCTCGCCACAAGTGGTACAATGGAGATGTCACCTATTGTCACTCAACCACAATGTCACAGTACTACAAGGAGTTTTGAGTGGCAGTCTGAGCTCTGTGACTGTGGCGACGACTGTAACATCTGTGAGTAAATTCTTACGTGATGGAGTTTATCCTTGGTAGCTTGGTTCCTGAATTGTTCTTCCTTTAAATGTTGATCCAGCTCTGGGAGCAAAGACTTTCCACACTCGTTTCCTGTCAACATGTGATGGAATCAAAAGTTCAAAACAAGTTAAATCAATTAATTAGGCGTCATTAAGTGTCAGTTTTTAGCAACTACATAAATAGATTTTCTCCAGGGCAAACTGTCTCCAACTAGGTCCTTCCAACAACATACTCATACCCGTAGTCTGTCCATCTTCTCTCAGGGGTTCCCAACTTTGGAAACTTTAAGATGTGCGAACTTAACTCCCAGAATTCCCTAGTCACCATGTAAGAAGGACACAGTGCCCATCCTGCTGATGAAGAAGTTAATTGGGGTCTATAGTAAAGAAAAAATGTATCTGATTATTCACACATTAACAGAAGCTAGAATTGTATTTGCCCAAAACTGGAAGAACAATAAGACACCTACAGAAGAAGAGGTGATTATGAAAATATTTGAGTGTGCAGAAATGAACAGATTAAATTGATTGGAAATTAAAGAACAAGAAGATACAGAATATTATGTGATATGGGATGTATTTTATAAATGGTGGGAAAACAAAGAAATTGAATGAATGTAAGATAAGAGGTAATGAGAATACTATAATGATAAGAGAAAAAAGATGAAACTTTTAATGTGAATGTAACTTTAATGATATTATAGCATGAAATATATATCAAATGTGAATATGTGCACAAGATATATATGTACCCAGTTAACACACCATTGAACTGAAAGATGGTCATTTTGTAAAAGAAAATTTAAAAAATTTTAATAAAAGAAGAGGAAGAAGAAGAAGAAGAAGAAGAAGAAGAAGAAGAAGAAGAAGAAGAAGTTGTTAATTGGAGTAACTGCTGGAATCCTGCCAACCTCCTTGCAAAGCTTCTCCTGGGTCATTGCAATGTAAGAATTATGAAGCAACACACCCGTTAGTGTGACATACCTGTTGCTAACATGTAATAATTCCAGATATTAATAAGCAAGAGCTTTAAGTCACAGACACCTGTTCAATTTAGAAAATGGTGACACAATGCAGTTGGAAATTTCTGGTTCACGGGAGGCTATTGTGAAAGTCTACTGTTCATTTAAATATGCCTTCCTACATGGCTTCTCCAACGTTTAGTCTTCCGGAAGGGTGGGGATGACAACTCTTGCAATTCTGAGACATCGCGGTTACTGCTATTAGCCATGTCTACATAATTTGTAGTTCCCACCCTTCTGGAGAATTCTGTTGTCACAACAAACAGAGAAGCATTCCTTTGAGCCGCGGTAGGGCAGTGGTCAGAGTGCAGTACTGCAGGCTACTTCTGCTGATTGCTGGCTGCCTGCAATTTGGGAGTTCGAATCTCACCAGGCTCAAGGTTGACTCAGCCTTCCATCTTTCTGAGGTGGGTAAAATGAGGACCCAGATTGTTGGGGGCAGGAGGCTGGCTCTATAAACCACTTAGAGAGGGCTGTAACAGCACTCAAAAGCAGTATATAATTCTAAGTGCTATTGCTATTGCTATTGAGGTTATAAAGATAAGCTTTCTTCGATTGCTTCCCTAGGTCTGTGCGGAACCTTCTGCTACTGTTGCCTGGGGTGCAAAGTGGCCAAAGACATGGACGAGTGTTGCTCTTGTGGTCCTACTGTGGCCATGAGGACAAGATATCGCACTTTGTACAGGATTCCGGTAAATTCATTGATCGTCGTGATGGTTCCCTTTTTCTTTTTTCCATTAATTGTATTTTTTTTTAAAAAAAGTTTTTTTTGCAAAGTAAAAACAAAACAAGTTTAGACGTAAAAGAAAAGTGATGAATGAATAAGAAAAAAGAAAATGAAAAACGAGAGAAAGAAAAATACAGGTAGTCCTTGACTTGTAACCATTCAGTTATTGACCATTCAAAGTTACAACGGCACTGAAAAAAAGTGACTTTTCACATTTACGATTGTTGCAGTATCCCCATGTCACGTGATCAAAATTCGGACACTTGGCCACTGGCTCATATTTATGACGGTTGCTGTGTCCTAGAGCTGTGTGATCCCCTTTTGAGACTTTCTGACAAGCAAAGTCAATGAGGGAAGCCAGATTCACCTAACAACCGTTGTAACTAATTTAATAACTGCAGTGACTCACTTAACAAGCATGGTAAGAAAGGTTGTAAAATAGAACAAACTCACTTAACAGCTACCTTGCCTAGCAACATAAATTTTGGGCTCAGTTGTTTTGTAAGTCGAGGACTGCCTATATATACAAAGGAGTGGCTTCTAATGGTTTTCTTTTTAAGTCATAAACACGTTTACATTTTATCCAATCTCTTTAAGGTTCCATTGTGCCTCTCTTCTTTCCATATTCTTCCCTTTCTAATCACCAAAGCCATAAATCATAATTTCATTTTTTTTTCTGCTTTCAGCAAACATGGAATCCATAAAGGGTTAGCATTTCCTGACCATGCCGTTTCCCTTTCTCATAAAATTCAGGAACTTAAGTTCAATTTGCACTTTAGTTTATTATTCTTCAAAGCTTAAGGGTATCCTTTAGGATATGGCCAGAAGTATTGTTTTCAAGACTGACGCATTTATTACAATACACTTTTTTTTTATTGTCATTTGAATGGTTGATTTGGAATGTACTATAAAGTTATTTGGGGACCAGAACTGTGAGTTACTCTAGTTAAAAACAGCAAATGAACTTTCACTTTAAAAGACTAACAAATATACTCAAGCTAACAGTTAAAAACTAACAAATATATTCAAACAAATATATAAAGGTGGCTCAGTGGCTAAGAAGCTGAGCTTGTCGATCAGAAAGATCAGTGGTTCGAATCCCTAGAGGCACTTAATGGAGTGAGCTCCCGTTACTTGTCCCAGCTTCTAACAACCTAGCAGTTCGAAAGCACGTAAAAAATTGCAAGTAGAAAAATAGGGACCCCTTTGGTGGGAAGGTAACAGCATTCCGTGTGCCTTTGGCGTTTAGTCATGCCAGCCACATGACCATGGAGACGTCTTCGGACCGCGCTGGCTCTTCGGCTTTGTAATGGAGATAAGCACTGCCCCCTAGAGACGGAAAAGACTAGCACACATGTGCGAGGGAAACCTTTACCTTTACCTATAAAGTTATTGGGGGACCAGAACTGTCAGTTACTCTGCTTAAAAACAACAATGAACGTTCACCTTAAAGGCTAACAAATATATTCAACCTTATATTTGTGTAGATCATTGCCCACACAATGAATTGTATTTTGATCCATAACAGCTTACTTAATGACACATGCATTATTTATCACTTGGTTCCTAGGTTGCAAAAGATTTCTATGGCTACTTTTATGAAAATTATATAAAGTGAGAAAAATTACTGTGGTTGACATAAGTGCTAGAGACCGAGCCGGTTGATAGCCTAGTACTCAAATTTCTTTAAAATTTAAGGGGGATGGCCTGGACAGCCAATACTCTTAGACAGGAACCAATAAAAGAGAATATTTGAAGGGTTGAAATCTGGGATCCTTGTGTTCTCTGAACTTGGTTGTTTTCTTTGCATTTCATTACCCAAGCACTGGTGATGTTACCTAGTTTGGGTTATGAAACGCCTGCAAGAAAGCAGCCAGATTCCTTGACTGGTGTTTAGAGAAGAGGACAATGGGATGGTTAGAGATGTATGAAGAAGGGGGCAGATGTCCTTCAATGGTCCTTCCACGGTTCCCTACCACAGACCATGGCTAAAGAATGCTCCATAGAACCACATAGGAATTGAGACCAACAGAATGAACAAGAAGTTACACAAAGGATTAAAGCTAGAATAACAAAAGGTCACTCTCCTTAAAAACTCTCTCTGTTTTTTTATTTATAGAGTTAACTATTGTCTGATAACATATCAAGTACTTTTCTCTGTTAATCTCTCCATACTTCATGTCTCTTTTCCTGCTTTTGCCCTTTGTTTCATTTTATCAATATCCTTGCCGATCTTTGCTGATGTTTTAAAAAAAACCCATTATCCACCAATAATTTTTGCTAGCTGGCCTGAGTGGGGTGTGCGCTTGCTGTGATCTGAATGTAGGAATTCAGCTGAGAGAATGCCAGGGGGAAAACTCAACTGGGAATTAGCCAAATGAAAAGAAGGACTAGGGGTGACATGATAGCAGTGTCCCGATATTTGAAGGGCTGCCACAAAGAAGAGGGAGTCAACCTAATCTCCAAAGCATCTGAAGTTGTGGATGCTCCAACACTAGAAGTTTTTAAAGAAGAGGTTGGATAACCATTTGTCTGAAAGGGTACAGGGTTTCCTGCATAAGCAGGGAGTTGGACTAGAAGATCTCAAAGGTCCCTTCCAACTCTGTTATTCTATTTTATTCTGTTCTGTTCAATTTGATTTGATTTGATTTGATTCGATCGGACAACCATTTGTCTGAAATGGTATCGGGCCGTGAGATGGCAAACTTATGGCACACATACCAGAGGTGGCATACAGAGCCCTCTCTGTGGGGACGCACGCTGTCGCCCCAGCTCAGGTCCACCACGTTTCTCTGTGGAGTTTTTCACCGTCATTCATCAAACAACGAAACAGAATCTCATGGAAGAAAAAGATTGCGCCTCTTGCAGAGCTGCCAGTGTTGGAATGCCCCGCCTCCTGCCGACCAGCTGGTGTTCAGGTTTCTGGCATGCTCACGCCTTCCGGTTTGGGCACTCAGTGCCTAAAAGGTTCACCATCACTGGTATAGGGTTTTTCACCTGAGCAGGAGGCCTCCAAAGTCCCTTTCAATTCTTCTCTTCTCTTCTCTTCTCTTCTCTTCTTCTCTTCTCTTCTCTTCTCTTCTCTTCTCTTCTCTTCTCTTCTCTTCTTCTCTTCTCTCCTCTCCTCTCCTCTCCTCTTCTCTCTTCTCCTTTCTTCTCCTCTCTTCTCTTCTCCTCTCCTCTCCTCTCCTCTCCTCCTCTCCTCTCCTCTCCTCTCCTCTAGATTGGACAGCCATTTGTCTGAAATGATATAGGGGTTTCCTGCCTGAGCAGGGGATGGACTAGAAGACCTCCAATGCCCCTTTCCAACTCTGTTATTCTGTTAAATGTCCAAGACTTCTGGGATGTTGTTTGGGTTTCCTCAACCCGTCTTCAGCCAACTTACTCCAGGTCTGCTCAGTCTTTCTGCTATCTGCCAAGATTTCCTAGGTTTTGCTTTGTGTTGTGATACTTTGCTTACCTCAAATCTTTCAAACATGTCCCGGCTTGCTCACTCCATCTTTTAGCAATGTTTATGGTATGTGTTGACTCAAAACTTTTTCCAAAGTTTCTATTATATCTCATATCAGCTGCTTTGTCTTATGGCCCATACAGTTTAATGAGTTTGGACTGTGTCTTTTGCGTGTTTCACAGAGAAACAACATCAGCTACACCTAAAAATATGACAGGGAATACAGAAATCTCCATATAAATACTGTTTGTTTCGGTTTGTTTTCATTGTGTACAATAAACCATAATTTAAAATATAGGACTGGATTGAGGATTGAGTTTCTCTTTTGTTTTGCTCCTCAGGGATCGATCTGCTTAGACTGTCTCACAGTCACTTTCTGTGGTCCTTGTAGCCTTTGCCAGCTCAAGAGAGATATCAACAGGAGGAAGCAATTAGGGATTTTCTAGGTAGGTGTGCAAAAACTTACTACCGTGTTTCTCCGAAAATAAGACCCTGTCTTATATTTTTTTTTGCCACCCAAAAAGGCACCAGGTCTTATTTTGGGGGGATGCCATCCACTGACTAACCTCACTTGTGCGTGTCGGCCCCCCTCCGGCCTCCTTTTTTCCTGTCAGAGGCCTTCAGGAACTTCTTCTTCTGCAGCCAGCAAGGCTTTCCTGAAGGCCTCTGCAGACGATAACAGAGCTCCGGATCGATCCAGAGCTTTGATATCAGCTACAGAGGCCTTCAGAAAAACCTTGCCAGCCTTGCCAGCTGCAGAAGAAATGGGCTGGTGAGGCAGGTATCAGGTTGTGTGAGGCTTGACTACAACTGTCCAAAGGAAAGTAATTTGGCAGCTCCACCCCCCCTATCCCCACCCTATCTTAATTTTTACCTGTGCACCCTAGAGTGGTCGGGATCTTAATTAGGGCTTATTTTGGGGGTAGGGCTTATATTGGGCACATGTGTAAAAATCAAGCTAGGACTGACTTTTGGGGTAGGTCGTATTTTCGGGGAAACAGGGTATCTGTGGAGATTGGGTGATTGGATAATAAAAATGAGTAATTTTCTAATTGTAATCCTTGTCCTTTTCTGCTAGATTGGTCAGAGAGAAGCAGGAAACTTGAAGAAGGATGGGTTCATGCTCAACTTCTCAGGACCTCGGAGGATCTTTTGCAAAGTTCTTCATCATAGAAGCTCCATTTTCACCACTGGCAGGATTCCCACAGGGCTTGTTCACTTTGGGGTTAGCGTTGTGTGGTTTGCAGATCGTAATTTATACTGTGTCCGCATGTGGTTTTTATTCAGCAAATTGTGCCTTATTTAATAAAACCAGAATAACCTGTGAGGCTGTTGTCCAGACCTAGGAGTTCAAACTCTCTTTGGGTACAATGTTGCAAGTGCATAGGATGGAAGAAAAGCCATTAGAATAAGCTATTGGGCATTCGTCACAAAAATGCATCTTCTAAATGAAAATAAGAATAATTAAGATTCGTGTAGGAGATAACCAGGCTGAGTCCAAGGGAAGGTGCACTAGTTACTGGTACTTAGCAATATCATACCACCCCACATTAGAAGATAAACAAATTCTCATTCAGCTGTGGTCAAGGATGCTGTGCAACAACAGGTTCTTCCTGTTCATTAGGACAATGAGCAGCCCATCACAAGATTGAAATCTTGTAAGCCAGCTTGGAAAACAACAATTCATTTAACGCCTACCTAGAGAACCTTGAAGTTTCCAAGATGGCCTCAGCCAGGTTCCCTTCAGGGTTGACACCCAGAGGAGATAGTAGATAACTAAATTGGACATCCGGTTATAAGGCCACCGCAATACCCCCATAGAAATTTTACTTTTAATTATGTAGACTTTGTAGATATGCTTACTTTTCTTCTGTCATGTTCTCATCATATGCTAAATAATAATAAAGCCTGAGGGAAGGGTCAAGCATGTCATGAGTTTGGCATCCCTTCGCACCCACAAATTGACCTAAGTCCAGACCTCCTTCCATTCTGTTGACATTTATCAACCACCAATTTGCCTTGACCGTTAGTACAGGTAGTCCTTGACTTATGACCACAACTGAGCCCAGAATATTTGTTGCTAAATGAGACAGTTGATAAGTGAGTTTTACCCCATTTTATGACCTTTCTTGCCTCAATTCTTAAGTGAATTATTGCAGCTGTTGTTAGTAATGCAGTTGTGAGGTAAATCTGGCTTCCCCATTGACTTTGCTTGTCAAAAGGTCACAAAAGGGGATCACATGACCTCAGGACACTGTCATAAATATGAGTCCCATTGTGTTTTGTTGAAATACATTTAGTGAAAACTAAACGATCTTTCAAAGAATAAAAGTCAGTTGGAATGTGAAAAATTCCTCACAAGTTGTGAATGAATTTGAGGATCACTTAATAAATTACTAGGCAGGCAAAATTAGACTTCCTTGAAATAATATTAACTGTTCTTGCTGTTTCACCCAAAAGGAAGCATAGCTTATACTAGTGTAATCTTTCGTGGCCGGCATCAATGAACCAATGAGGAGTTTTTGGGTTGAATGTGAGTGAGCTGTTTAGTAGTGCTTCATCACAGGATTTTTGCCTGTGAGCTGGCAAAAGGTATACTGCAAAACAGCTCATTCTGCTCCTGAAGATACTTGCCACAGCTGCTGGAGAAACATCAGGACAAAAAAACAAAAACAAAAGCAAGCAACAACAACAAAACAAAACAAAACCTGAACGCAGGACAAGAAGCAATGGGTGGAAACTAAGTAAGGAAAGAAGCAACCTGGAACTAAGGAGGAATTTTCTGACAGTGAGAACAATTAACCAGTGGAACAGCTTTGCCTTCAGAAGTTGTGGGTGCTTCAACAGTGGAGATTTTTAAGGAGAGACTGGAGAATCACTTGTCTGAATTGGTATAGGGTCTCCTCTTGAGTAGCAGGTTGGACTAGAAGACCTCTAAGGTTCCTCCAGTGCTGTTGTTCTGTCAAAACCATGAGCCTCAGTCACTTTTCAGTCCCGAAGCTCATCACTGCTTCCTAATTTAGACTGGACTGAATAACAACCAGAATTTCTTTGGATGAAAATAATTTGTTTCTGTCCTGTATCCCCTTGGTTCATCAGAGAAAAGAAATACCTGGCTATTCTGAAGCTTTTAAATATACGCCAATGGTGAATGTGCAGGGCATCAGAAAAGCTTGGGAGAAGAGTTCGGAAAGGAAGCCAAGAATACGCCCGTTTCTTCCAATTCAGTCTGAGAAATGTTTCCAGTCTGGGCAGGGGTGGGATTCAAATATTTTAACAACCGGTTCTGTGGGCATGGCTAGGTGGGTGTGGCCATGTGAATGAGTGGGTGTGGCATCTTTTTTTGTAGCATTCCGCCCCCCCCCCCGTTTTTTTCCTCTTGGGCCTCAGGAGGAAGCCTTCTTTGGGGGGGGGTGTTTTTGCTCCCAGGAGGCTTCCCTGGGGACAAGGAAGGCAAAAAATGGAGCGTGGGGATGGGGGCGGCACACAGCACCACACCACCCCTGCCCGCGTGCCCCCTTTTGCCTCCTGGGCCTCAGGGAAGCCTCCCGGGCAAGCGGTAAGACAGCGAGGGGGATCCCAGCACGGCTAATCATCGGGATGGGGGTTAAAAAGAAATACCTTAAGGAGTGACTGGGGAGGAGAGAACACAGTCAGCGATGTTGGGCATGCACGCGATGTCGCACATGCGCGATAAGGACTCACTGGCGGGGAGGGGCAGGTGGAGAGGGGAAGGGCCAGCCAGGGGCACAATTTGCTGGTTCTCCGAACTGCAGAGAATCATAACAACCGGGTCTATAGAACCGGTCTGAACCGATAGAATCCCACTCCTGAGTCTGGGTCTTTTTCACAGCTACTTTCCACACCACCTTAAAACAATCATATATCGAGCAACACCTTTCCACCTGGATGATGCACAAGACCCTGTGAATTGGCTTTTTTATTGTATGCAACTCGAAGGCACTCCTATTACTCTATACCTGCCAGATGGTTTTTATTGTTCTCCTTTAAGTTAACTTCAGCTTCTGATGTATCCTTCGAACAAACAAGGATGGGAGGAGGAGAGAAAAGTTTATAGGGGGAGAAAAGTCAACTTTTCAGTGGCTAGTTGCCAAATTTTTCTATTAGCTTGCTTTATTGGTATAAAATCCAGAATACATACCGTATTTGCCGGCGTATAAGACGACTTTTTTGCCCTAAAAAACATGCCTCCAAGTGGGGGGGTCGTCTTATACGCCGGTAAATACATTGTCACTCGGTGCAAGAGCGACGGGGGCGGAGCTCCGCAACTTGCGAAGCCCCTTCAAGCCCAGCCGAAGTCTCTCTTCCTCCTCCTCCCACCCACCCACCCACCCACCCTCCGCCCGGCTCGGGGCGCTTGCGGAGGCCAATCTGGAGGTGGGGTGGGGTGGAGCGGGAGGGTCTCTGGCGGGGCCGCTTCGCCCAGCCAGCCCCGAGCCGCGTAATGGCCCAGGGAGTGGGGGGGGGGAGAAGGTGGTGGGGGTGGACTGTGGCGCCCCTCCTTCTGGGCAGCGGGGCGGGGGCGGCAATTTGCTCCTCCCGCTTCTCCCTCCCTCTTTGAAAGACCGGGAGGGCTGTGCTTGGGGCGGGGGGGGGTGTCCTCAGGAAGTTCCTGATGGGACCCCGCTGGGCAGGGCCACCCGGCTCCCGAGCTGCTTTCCAGGGTCCCCTTGGGAAGAAAAGGGTCCGGTGGGCGGTGGAAGAAGGCGAGCGCCCTCCTCCCGCCCCCTGTCCCGTCCCGTCCCTCCTCTTGTCCCCTCCTCCCCTCCCCGCTTAAGAGAGAAAGATCTGCCTCCCCTGCACCGAGCTTCCACCCGGCGCCGCGTCTCCCGGCCAGCGCGCGCTTGCGACTTGGGAACCGGCCAAGCGACTTTAAAACCGAGCGGAGGCCAGAGATAGCCGGAATTACCCTCCACACCACACACACACACACAGAGAGAGAGAGAGAGAGAGAGAGAGACAGAGACAGAGACAGAGACAGAGACAGAGAGAGTTGGCAGCTGTCCATCCCCCACCCTTGGAGTCCCGATGGCACGCACGCGGGGGCTGTCACAAAGAAAGGGAGAGGAATTGAGTGCCAGCCTGAGAAAGGCGAAGCTGCCTCTCTAAAGCATTTTGGTGGCTTTGTAAGTTTGGGGGAAAGGGGTTGGGGGTGTCAATCAAGAATTATATCCAGAATACCCCAAGTGTTACAACTTACCGTATTTGCCGGCGTATGAGACGACTTTTTTGCCTTGAAAAGCATGCCTCCAAGTGGGGGGGTCGTCTTATACGGTGAGTATATAACAAAAACTATATTTTGAGTGGAAATGTTGGGGGCTCGTCTTATACGCCCAGTCGTCTTATACGCCGGCAAATACGGTAGCTGATTTCCAGAATAAAAAAATAAAATAAAAGCTACATAAAACCATTGAGACTCAGGTCTCCTCATACTTATTTATTCTCTTCTTTCTCCTCGGTGGATTTTTCTCAGGAAAGTCAAAAGCACGAAGGAATTGTGGGAATGTGAGGTTGTGTTCCACTGGGAATAAAGGGCAGCCATTCTATCATTTCAGACCACCTAAAACTAATCCTGGATAGTAAAGAAAGGAAAATAATTACAAAAAATAGGCTAGTTACAGCAACGAGCAACCTGAGAGCTGGACACTTAAGAATGGCTGGTTGAAAAGGAACTGAGGCCTTTGACCTATGGTGTGGCAGAAATTATTACATATAAAATGGACAACAAAAGCAACCAACAGCCAGGTGCTAAATCATTTAAAACCAGAAACATCACTAGAAGCCAAAACCATAAGACTACGTCTGATTTATTTTGGCCATGTAATGCATGTGAATTCATTGGAGGAGGCAGTTGTGCTAGGAATGGTTAGTGGAAGAAAAAGCAAGGGCAAGCAAAGAACTCGCTGGCTTGATACCGTCAAATCTGGTACGAAGGTGAACATCCAACACCCAAAAGAATTTATGCTTGACAGGGTAGCATAGAGAGCCCTTGCCTAGAAAGTCACCAAGAATCGGACATAGCTAAGTGGTTAAAAGAACAACAAATGCATTTTCTCAGAGTAAGGAAGGAAAAGGGAACTAGTCATGTTCAAATCAGAGTTTAATCCAAAGTTCACATGTGAACTACTGAAAGTCCTTGTTTGGGTAAACCCAGAAATGGTTCTCAGCAATCATGCGATCAAAGAAAGGGGAAGGAGCCAGACCAAGAAACAGAAATAACAGGGTTTCTATATGAAATAATCAAAGTTTCTATATGAATTAACTATTTTGAAATACCTAGTCTCCTTGAGATGCAAAGAAACATGTGAATTAACCACTGTTTGATAGAATCATGGTATTACCGTTCAGTATTTGTCTGCTTTATATATGCAGCCTTGATGTGT